TTAGATGCTGAGATATAATAAGAAAATGATTTTAGGGGTAAAATATAGGGATGGTTTTCTACCGTTAAAATTGAATGTCGTGTAACGTTTGAGTATTTCTCGCGTTAATAAAAGTTCGGACTCTTTACAGTAATTTCGCAATAACGTTTCCGAAGAAAGCAAGAATTTGACACGCGCGCAATCTAAATGATCAAAAAAAAAGAAATCTTTCGAGTGGAAAACCACGAGGCTTTCCAACTCGATGAGTTGTTTTCGAGATGCGATTGAGAGCAATTGCATCTATCGGGGAAAGGCCCGACAGCGCCGCAATTACTGCTCAATCCGATCTCTTAATAGCAAGTGTATTTCGGAAGGGAAGATCTCTAAGGCTGCTTTTTTCTCATGAGAGAAATAGTCTCATGAGTTGAGCTCTTAAAGATCTTTAAGGAAGGAGTTTAACAGGCTAACCACTGAAAAGAAATTCGTCTCAGGAAATAGCTGAGGCTTTATTTCAATAACAGTGCTCGCGCTGCTAAGCAAGGTAGGAAAGTGAGTCCTTTTGCCGCAGCGACGAGCGAATTTATACATGCGAAATGGGCTCCTTTCTACGCTTGGTAGCCCCTACAACGCTATTTTTGTTTTTGACGCAAATTTTATACTCGTTTTATCGCAAAATGGCTCGAACGAATTTACAATTATGCGATTTAAAAAATTAATCTGGAAAAGATGAATTTTTTAGTATAAATTGCATCTCTAGGAAAAATCGCATCTTAAAGTTATAAGCTATACAATTTAATAATCAATTTACGCCATTTTTACAATAAAATTATGGAAAATTTTTACTTGGAAAAATCGCTTGTGTTTAGAAGATTATTATCCATATAAAAGATGATTAATGTTGCTCTCCAATTTTGAATGATAATTAAAAAACAGATTTGCAATTTTCTTTTTTAGCGGTTTAAAAATCAGCAAATTAGTAACAATCACAATCATCAATTTTACAGATACTTATGATCGATTTTCTATCTAACCGTGTCATTTTAATTGTTTAAAAAAATTATAAATTGTTTATTTATTGATAACTCAGTTAATAATGGGTTATCAAAGTGTCAAATTCTTGCTTTTCTGTTTTAATATGTCGAGATTGTAATCGCGTACTTGAAATAACAATATCGTTGTTTATTGCAAAATAACTAACAATGTTAACTTGTAAATTAGATTTGACTAACAAATATCGATTTGAGAGTTAAATTAACATGGAATTCAGGATCAGCGCATCAAATTTAACTAAGAAATACTTTTGTTCGTTTAAAAAACTTTATAATTAACGATTTTCGGTTGTAAACAATAAATTTTCCCACTGTCGTGACGTCACGCTCCTTATATGGTAATGTTTTCGCAGAGTTGCCCTAACACATTTGTATATACGTGTGAAAAGCGCCTACGCTCAATTACCGATTTTCTTTAATTGTCTCGAGTATGACGGGTTGCCGTTTTGCAGAGGAAAATCGGAGACAAATCAGACAGGACCGTTACAGTCGGTACAAAAAGAGAAATACGTACCAGGTTTGTACAAAAAGTATCGCGAATTTTGTATTCCCGCGGGCTACATAAATTTGATTTTTGATTTTTTTGTAGCGTTATGTTGGTACTCATGTCCCTTACTTATGCTGACAAGGTCGGCCATTTGAAATGTTAGTTAATTTTTGACAGCTGTTTTGCTTGGATGTGTTTTGCCTACTCTTCGATTTTTGCCTATTCTAAAAAATGCATCAAATTTTGTATGAAAAACAAAATAAAGTACGCGGACGCATTCCCAATGTTGACTGTGACATATGGTGAAGCTACCTTCGACCAAAGCAAAGTTTATCAGTGGTACAAAATGTTCTCAGAGGGCCGAGAAGATGTGAACGACGAACAACGTGCCGGACGCCTGAGTACGTCAACAACAGACGAAAACATTGATGAAGTAAAGAAAATAGTATTGCCCAATCGTCGAATCACTGATAGAGAAGTTTCTGAGGATCTAAACATATCGACTGGCTCATGCCATTCGATTTTAACCAATGATTTTGGTATGAGTCGATTTCGACCAAATACAGCATCGCGTTAACATTGCTTAGGAGATGTTGGACTCGGTCCGGGACGACCCAAATGTGCTTCCGAGGATCATAACTGGTGATCAATCATGGGTTTATGGTTATGATGTAGAAATCAAAGCTCAATCATCCCAATGGAAGCTGCCGCATGAGCCAAGATCGAAAAAACGCGCCAAGTTCGGTTGAACGTGAAGGTTTTGCTCACACTTTTCTTCGATTACAGGGGTGTAGTGTATCATGAGTTCTTGCCACAGGGTAATACGTCAATAGGAAATATTACCTGCAAGTTATACGCAATTTGCGCAAAGCAATCCGCCAGAGGCGTCCGGATTTGTGGAAAAGCAAAAACTGACGCACTGATAACGCCCCTGCTCACACATTGTTGCTTGTGCGAATATTTGGCCAAAAACAATACAGTAATGGTACCACATCCACCGTATTCCCCAGACCTGGCCCCCTATGACTTTTTCCTGTTCCCAAAACTAAAGAGGCCCATGAAAGGACGACGTTACGCCACGATTGAGGAGATAAAGATGGCATCGAAAGAGGAGCTGAACAAGATTACAAAAAATGATTTTTTTAAGTGCTTCGAGGATTGGAAAAAATGTTGCTACAAGTGCATTATATCAGAAGGGGTAGACTGGTCATGGCCTACACCGTGTGTCTCTTCTCGCGGGCCAGCACAGCTGCGTTAGTGATTAAGTTTTCTTTCTGTTATTGTATTTCGAGTCCGTAATGAGATGGCAAGGCGCTCACGTGCCGGCTATCTCATTTAGTTAATAAGAATTTATTGTGTAGTAGGTTAAGGTTTATGATAAAGTGTTTTAATCCTCATCGCTCGAGGTAGCGATTTGTAATAAATTTAATTCGTTAGTGAAAAGGGAGAGTAGTCATTGTGATCACTTTTCCTCTTCTGCCTTGCCGGAAGAGATATACCGCCTCCCTTACCTCCTCCTTAAACAATTAGGTGATAGCGGGAAGGAATTGCCGGCCAAGGATGGCCAACGCTATACACTTTGAAGGTAAAATAAAATAGATATTCTTGAATAAATAAATAATTTTTGAAAACATACAAAATTCGCGATACTTTATGAACAGATCTCGTATCTCTTATGTTTTCGAGTACTGCAATATATCAAAATATTATTGAAATCTGTGAGATGAGATGGGAGGGGGGGGTTTCCGATCAATCTCAGCCAAATTTTGAATTCGAACGGTCTGACATTGACTCAAACTATTCTGTCGACATACGTAATGATTGATATTTCAGATACATACTTGAAATAGATTTTGAGCATCCAAAAGAAATTCACGATTTGCAAAAAGATCTATAATTTTGTCCAGAGCACAAGGCTGCTCCCCAAACAGATTAAGCTAATTACGATTTTTGATAATGAAGAGTATTACATCATCTACAATAGAGCACTGAAGCAAGTAATAAAACATGGTTTATGTCTCCAGATGACTGAAGTTTAATCAGAGCACATGACTCAACACATACATCGATTTTAATAACGAGATGAATAAACAAGCAAAAAATGAGTTTGAAAAAATACTATTCAAACTATTTAACAATACAGTATACGGTTAGACTATGGAAAATGAAAAGAAACGCATCTACGTCAAGTTTGTAAAGAAGTGAGAGGGACAAGATCATACCAAAACTCGATCTCGCATCTCGATCAAATTTTCATAGTAGTGATATTTTTCACGATTAATTAGTAATAATTCAACTCTTGCGGATCATAGTAAGAAAAATCTATTAACATCGGTCTTGCTGTTCTAGACATGTTTAAGAATCTCATGCATCAATTCTACTATGACTGCATGAGTAGTGATCTTATTGAACATTTAAATTTTTGATATACCGAAACGGACAGTCTAGGGTATGAGATAACTAATGTAAAAATGTATGACGTCATGCTTTGAGATATTGGCGAATTTGATATCTCATATTTTCCCGTCAATTAGTTAATATTTATCAGTTATTAATTATTTGAATATTTTAAGAGAGAATAAGAATATAGTTGGAAAAATAAAATATGAAAACGCTGGGGTCCCTGTGCTTCAGGTATTGGATTCAGAAGCACGATGTAGCGTCCGAGATGAAAACAAAATCCCCAAAAAGAAAGCAAAAGGTATAATCAGTACCTTATTAAATGCTACAATTACGTTTGAAAATCACGTTAAAAAATTCAATATCACGATTGACAAAATACCTTCGAATGTATTTTGTCACGCAACAATAAAGGGAGGTGCACCTACCCTGCGGTGCAATTATGGTGATCAGCCGTGTTTGTTGATGAAAAAAATCAACTGCCGATGCTCCTCCAATTTATCAGCTGCGCTGCCTCACTCTACAATCCGCTGCAATTTGCTGCTGCTATACTGCTGCTGCTTGCTGCCGCTTTAATGCTATTGCATCCCGCACGTAAACATGGTCCCAGAAAACTATGAAAACGGCGAACACAGTGCAAAACAGTTTGGCGAATTATCGCGAATGCAGCTGAGGCTTAACTGCCTATTTCAAACTCTCGCGCGCCCCCTCTCTCTCTCTCTCTCTTTTAATGGTTCAAACTAACACGCGAGTAATAGAATAGCGAACGGATCGATTAATTGAATCAACTACCGTTACAATATTTTCATATGCCAGGCCAACTTACGATAAATAAGATATTATCGAAGGAGAACGACAGCAGACATTGATAATTCAGATCATACGAGTATCATACCATTTTAAATAATAAAAATAAATAATCTACTTTTATATAAACCATAATTATTATAGAACTATCTAGCAAAGGCATGCGAACATAACCTAAAAATATTTGATACAGAAAAAATTAAAAATATTTCAATATAACAGAAGACCTAATCTAATTTACTTATTTTTCAACTGTAATAGATATTCTTTTTACTTACAATTGTTTGAAGTAATCGAACTTTTATCAGAATTGGTTCTTTTATTACTGACAACCATGATCTCCAAAGCACAGCTTGAAATTGCTGAAACCAAGTAGCCTTGTATTTATGTACATCAAAAAATGTATCTATATTTTCATGATGTATTTTATGATGGTTCGATAGCATTTGAATTTTTGCACTTATTTTTACTCCTGCATCACTGTTTTCAAAGTTATTGCAAATTAAGTCAATCGTACGACGGCAGGCATTTTCTCGCCCTGGTACAATAGCTAACAATTGTATAAAATAATCAGCTGGATTATAGTTGCTTGGGCATGATACTCCTAATCTACGGACAAAATAAAATTATTTTATTATATAAAGAAGTAGTATTAAGAATATTCTGACGTACGCATAAGAGTATTACTTATTTAAATTGAGATAAAAGAAAATATTAGTTTCTTTTATAAATTTTAAACTATGATTTTTGAATTTGTACATTACGTGAAAATTGCGTGTCTAAAAGATAATTCAAACTATTCTTCTTTTTCCATATGATCTATATAAACAAATTTATAAATCCGGTCTCGTCTTATTTACAGAAATTATACCAAGAATCAGAAAATAAAAGTTTCTTTCAAATTCATGTACAACGGAATTTCAACTTGACAAGGCGATCGTCACTTTTATTTTATAATTTGCAGAAAATGAAAAAAGTTAAGAATTTTTGTTTGTATTCTAGTTTCAAGTGTCTTTTACTTAAAAAAGGAAGAGAATAAGTTGAGATAAGTTGAGTTTATTTTATTGCACCATGGGATGGAACTATCTAAAAGTTCAAAATACAACGTAACTTTACATTAGTTATGCATTATTTATAACTATATAATTGCATCGTTTAAGAGATTTAGTACCATTAGATAATCAGTCGTAATTTAAAAACTGAACCACATAGATAAGGAGTATCGGAAATGGAAAATCATTTAAAATAATAATAGAAGTAATAATCTCAAAAATGTACCTAGACCTTTAATCCTGCGTTTCTAGGGCAAGGAGTTTCCAGGGCGTTTAAGAGCAAGGTTTATGATCAGTCGATCAAAATCAACATCCGTTACTAAAAATATATTCATCAGCTTGACTCTAATTATAAATATAGATTCAAAATCTTGTATTGGAAAATCACGGCTTTTTCGGTTCGTCCGTTGGTTCTCACCATTGTCCGTTCGCTACTATGATTTTTTTTATTTGTGGTACAACGGACGAGATGATTGATGGAGTGAGAAGTGATTGACGACTAATGGATAAGGAGAAGAAAGTTTATGTGAGAGAGAGTTTTGGAGAGAAATAGTACTGAACCGTTGCATCGAGCGTGTCGTCCATTTCCCAACTGAATTTTAGAATCCTTTTCGAACGCGGCATCGCAGGACTTAAATTATAGAAAATACAGGTACGGTGTGAAGGACGTGTTGGTCAGATTTTATTGTTGTTGGTATCTGGGCCACGCCTAGTGTTGAATCTCGGCGCTGAAGCATGTGAAGATCCCGGTATGGATCCGTACGGACGACCGTATATTTGAACAGAAAGCAGAAACGGCTAGCTACTGTACACGAGTGATAGTAGTGGTATCGATAACAACGGTAGGAGAGCAGTATAAACAGCAATCAGGATGAAATCACCGAGTCGCGTTGGTTCCCGTGTTTTTTTTTCTCTTTCTCTCTCTCTCTCCCTCTCTCTCTCTCTCTCTCGCTCTGCATGTTCGGGCATTGCTTTCACGTGTACGTGACCTAACAGCTTTACTGACACCCGCGTTGGTTATAACGGTCAGTTGCGTGATCGTTCGGCTAAGGGGAAAAAGATTAACAAGTAAACTGTCGGTAATCGTATTAATGGATTTGGATGGATTAGCGTCACTGCCAAAATCCAACTCCAGTTTTTATTTTATATACGCGTTTTTTTTCTTTTCTTTGTACTATTTCTTCGCTGCCTTTTTTTAAAAAAATGTAAGTATTATTAAAATGTGTATCACGGTATTTCGCCTATCACCAACCCTCATCCCAACATTAGTTTTGCGCATGGTTAATCTACACATGCGTATATTATTCAACTGTTTGAACGCTCGCGTCTCTTCAATCCATCCCTCTTTGAATAATTTGTGCGGGTGGCTAGAAATATAACCCTTCAAGTTAGCGGTTGTCCGTTAGTCCTTACCGGAGGAGTTGGACATGCAAAAGAATGAGAAAGACTATGTTTCAAACTCTCAGATGCAAAGTTCACTTTATACGAGGATTAAGAGATAGATATCTAGGTCAATGAGCAGCGACGTGGAAAGAATTCTAAAGGAAATTTAGTCAAGATAAAGACATAAATTATTCGCGAAATAAGACAGTTTAAATGGAGTTTGTGATAAGTCACATGCGAAGTGATATACTGGAAGGCTATGATTGAAAAACAGCCTACCACAAATTTCACATAGGCATTTTTTTCTAGATTATGATAACTATAAAGTAGCACTCAGAGTGTGGGAGTGTCATACGAACTGCTTTTTCAGATTGAAACACAAGTATTCTTTTATAAAATTTTCCTGAAGTTAGTGCAAAAAAGCATAAACATTCTTGACTATTGTATAAGTATGAAATTTCCAATCAAAAGTGTTCGATACCTGGATTACGAACAGTTATAAAATAAGACGATACTAATGCTATTCATAGTAAGTTAAGAGACCATTGAAAAATCTATATTAATAATATACGAGGGTCGTTGAATAAATCCGTGACTTCTCGAGAGATGGTGGTGTTATCGTAATGTATTTTACATTGTAAGAGAATACCATCTAGTATAAGTGCGTATACAAAGTTTCAAGTCAGTATGTTGGTTAGGAAATCTTTTAGTCATCTGAATTTTGTTCTTCACTGTGTAAACAAAATCATAGAAAAAAAGAGTTTCGTGTACTTATTAAACATTATTTCCTATAGAAAAAATCAATCAAAGAAACTGAAGAAAAGCTCAGAAAATATTATGGACCTCTTCTTCGCAGGGAACAATGGCAGATGATGGCAGCGCGAGCTAATTCCTTGGTTGATTGACCTCGATTGATGGTTGACGTAAAGTGAGTGACGCCACGTAATACTCCTGCGCAGGAAGTGACCGCTCTCTCACAAACTATCCTTACTTAGTCCATTTTTAGGCGGCGGGCGACGAGACGCTGATTGGTCGCGCGTCGCCAGTGTGCCTAATAACCGTTTAAAGTGCGATCACGTAAGCGCTCTTTCTCTCTTTCTCTCTCTTTTCTAGTTCTCTCTCTCTCTCTTTCTTCAACTGCAGCGTTTTCTTACGTTTTTCTGAAATGATAGCTTTTGGTATTCCAAGGTCTTCTTCTAGTTCTCGCACAGTCATACAACGATCTTTTTCGATTGCAAATCGCACCCGCTCAATAGTATCTGCGGTTTTTGACGTCGAAGGTCGGCCGGAACGAGAATCACTATCGACAGAAGTGTGACCATTCTTGAACCGTTTATACCACTCTTTTATTCGTGCTTTGCTCATACCGTCGCTTCCGAAGGCCTTTTGCATTATTTCAATAGTTTCCGAACTCGTTTTTCCAAGTTGAAAGCAAAATTTGATGCAAATTCGTTGATCTTGTTTTTCAGTCATTTTTGACAATATCAAAATCCGACGAACGCGAAAAAGGCACTGTAAACAAAGACACGCTACGCATGAGCTATACGTCCGGCAGGTGTTAGTAAGTAACCAATAGATTCGTGAGGTTTTACTGTTGATGTTTCTGTCCGGTAGAGGTAGCTCGAACACTATGGCACGAAGATATAAACGTACGCCCGATACGTTCCGGACAGACCTCGTATAGTTGCAGAATGTAGAAGGTGCATGCAACGCACTTACACGTAATACACGCGGCGCGTAACTTTGAGGAAAGATAGAGAGCAAGGTTCGTCAGAGCAGATCGTTCGTAGCTGTCGATTTCCCGAGCAGGACTGACTGGCGATGCGTGTTTTGGCAAAAGGGACGCATAGAAAATTCTTCCCTACTACTCAGGCCCAACACCGCGTGTGGATCTTAGTTCGGCGATTGAGAGGGCGGTAGAACTTCGTTCGGAGTCTATTGACTACCTGCGGGTGGTCGCGGCTGACCTTTTTTTATGGTGCGGGCCCTTGAACAACGAGTGTCGATCCTCTAGACAATTTAGTTTCCCTAAAACATGCTGAGACCGAGAATGGCTTGACATCCACATATTCTTCAGCTTTTCCAATTTGGGAAAAATAACCCCAAAAAAACTATTTAGGCTATAAAACGATGTTAGAAAGAAATTCTGTGTTGGAAAGTAATTCGGACTGTTTGAACAGACGGAGTCCAGATGCGACATGGTTTATTGCAGAGAACGCGCAAACTGCCCTAGACTCTCTCGACACTCGGATTTTCAGCTTTGTGAAGGCTAACATAACCATCAGGAATAAAATATGACCTATTAATGACCCTCTGCTCAGGTTTTGCTCTCTTGATGCGTCTCTCACGCTTTCACGCACAAACACACTCTCTCTTTCTCTCTTTGAAGCGCCAACGGTGCGAACAGTATGACATCTAGAAAAATGCTAAAAATTGTTAAATAAAGAATAACGCTGCAGTATTTTACAAGAAATATATATTAACGATCAAAATGAAGTGATTTATGAAAAAATTTATAAAGAAACTAGTATATAAAAACAAGGATCACCTTTTAAACTTAAAAAAAATGGAGGTTAATAATAATAGATTCAGATAAAACTAACAAATTCATTGAATCTAACCCATATTGGTTACCGATGATCATGAAAAATCTAATGATCTTGTTCGGTTAATTTTCCATATGGGTCAATGTCATGTGTTCACACTACTCTTATAATCCGAGTCCACTTGCAACTTCAACTGGATCTGAAATACTACAAGATTTTAAAGAAAGACTATGAATTTCTTACTTTATCAGTATCAGGATTTTTATTAATTCATCTGCATCTTCTTGAGACAGTAACCAAGAATGGTCAACAACAATTAAAAATCTATAAATTATATATTGATTGAAGACAGCGTAAAATAAATATGTCTACTGCCAATGCAATCGTACTCAAGTCATCGAACAATTATAATTGTAATGATGAGGCTTGCAAAAAACCAGTTGCAAGTATAAAAATGTGTCTTGATTGAGAATCAACCTGTAGCAACTGTGAGGTATTATTAGTTACTTTAAGATCAATCAAGAATGCCAATAACTCTACTAGTACACTTCCAATGACATTTCACGGAGAAAACATCATGAATTTAGAAAACTTTAGTGAGATGGAAACCTGTTAAAATATTATATTC